TAGCATCCTTCTTGAATTGTGGTGTCCAGAACTGGACACAATACTCAAGATGAGGCCTAACCAGTGCCAAACAGAGGGGAACTAGTACCTCATGGGATTTGGAAACTATACTTCTGTTAATGCAGCCTAAAATAGCATTTGCCTTTTTTGTAGCCACATCACACTGCTGCTTTTTGAAACAAACCAAGTGAGCTAGCCCACTGAATTCAGCATAGTAAATATGCATCACAGCTGCAAATGCACCTATGACAGCCTGTTGCTGCATCACCCGGTCTGTTTTCCACATCTCCAAACAGGGATCTGAACCAAGCCTTAAGGTCTGCATGCAACCCAGCTGTGCTTTGTTCTAAAGTTAGTTCTAAACTTTGAGTAGGCAGAAGCACTTTTTTCACCCCATCAGAGCTCCATTGTTTTAATCATATAAGGCTGCCACATTTGTCTCTGTACCAGGCATTTTTCAAGGTTTGGATCCATTATTTTCTGTTCCTGAAAAATGGTCCTAGCCTATCAAAAATTAGGAGTGTGAAAATGCTGGCAGGTACCAAAAGCACTGGCCCATGAGCAAGTGGAGTGTGGATCAGTCTGGAACGCTTTAAAAGGAAAGGCAGGTGCATGTCTGTGTAGGGGTCGAACTGGTACAGGAAGGGAGGGCATGTCTGAGCTTCCCTTGTGCAAACCAGTACTGCAATCTGAACGTTTTGTAAAAGATTTTATCTCTCATAGGTACACACCTCCTGTCTTTCTTTTCATGTGTGCGAGAATAGCAATGTTTGCAATGAAGTTGTTCGCATAGCAAGACAGAGCCTCCTGAAGCCACTCTTCAAAGGCAGGCCTTTGAAGGAGACTTGGCTTTTTATGAATTACTGGTGAAATCAAGCTTGACTTTCTTTGCAACACAACCATCTCCATGTTTTCATGCACTGCAGCAGCAGCCCTTCCCCATATTAATATAGTGGAGGTAAGGGCAAAGAGCCAGCTGTATCTCATAGGTGCTCAGTGGAGCTCGGAGGCCACCAGGAAGGAGGGAGTACTTTGAAATAGAAAAGCAGCTGAGGTAAAGATCTCAGTTCAACTAAGTTTTATATGATCCATTTCTTGCAATAATGACAACACACACACACAGACACACACAATTGCAGGCCTGGAGATTACATCCAGCATTGTTGGTAGTGATGGTTTGATCTCACAAGAAGATTTGTTGCCTTCTATCTTCCCACCCCTGTCCTCGGCAGCCCTCTGGCTGGTTTTTCAGCTCTCCAAAAAAGTGGGAGGATCTGCAAAGAAAATGAATCAATAACTATCTGGAAAGGCAGCCCCTAGCCATGGTCCCATGTCAGAGATATTGGGATCCCACAGTTTATATGGCTTCTGAATGTCTGGATCTCTTATTTGAAAACCACAGTTCTAGACAATGGCCTAGATTTACTCATGTTCATATAAGGATTGTGTGACTTGAAGCAGCTGCTTGAGGCCAACGGACAAGGCATCGAGGTATGTCTTGCTTATGTGCCTGGTCATGTGGCTGAGGGTGGAAGCAAGATGCACACTGACAAAATTAGCCATGGAAAATTACACAGACGTTATGTGAACACCAATAAGATTCTGACTAAAGAGTTATCATAAACCCCAGCTACTTCTTGTCCTCTCTTTTTAAAGAAAACAAGTTGCTACAGTGTAATGGCAACACACCATTATTTTGTGTGTTGCTGTCACACTACACAGAGCTGCCTGACTGTTGTCCCCAAGCAGTCCTCTCTCCACACAGGTTGCAGTAGTTTGACTTATTCAGCCTCACCATCAGAGGAACATCATGATTGTGAGACCATTCAGAATATTAAAGCAAAGCAGCCACATTGAGCTGCTTTCTTTTTATTAAAGTATTTCTTCTCACTTTAGAGGAAACTTGTATAGTATTTAAAAAACTAAATGATTGTTTCTTTCTTTGCCAGAGTGGTGGGGAGGGGGGGAACAAACCAACTGTATCTTTGCACAGCATGGGAATTAAAGTTATCATTTGTACATATGATAATAGATGTGGCTAGTCCTTCTTTGACATTTTCCTTTTTCAAACAAACACTGGAGAGTGTGGACCTACAGTGCATTGAAAACCGATTAATCCCGTAACAGGCCGTTTTTGTTCCATTTTGTTTTTTTTCTGGTCTGTAAGTCAAATCTCAGTCTGCAAGTCAAACCTAAAGTCAAGGGTCCACTGTATGATAATAGATGTGGCTAGTCCTTCTTTGACATTTTCCTTTTTCAAACAAACACCGGAGGGGGTGGTGCAGGGACGGTGCTGGTGCTTGGACAGGGAAAATATTGCATTTTTTCTCCACTGAGTGTCACCAGCCACTCGTACTTTAGCTCTGCCTCCCCACCCAAATAATTTTACAAGTAGAGAGCAGCGTTGGGGGTAGATGGTGTTGCTCTGCAGAGAAATTTGGAACAAAGCGTCTTCAACTACCATCATCTTTATTACTGACAAAATTACAGTATGCCACAGTCCAGCAGCATTATGGGACAACAACAATAGTGGTAACCACAGTCACTTTGCTTGCTACTTCTGAACTGAAAATAGCCATTAAAAAAAGAGAGAGAAGTGTGATGATAGCCTCAGCCCCAATTTATCTTCTTGGACCAGATGCTCTCGCATTTGTCTACTGGGGCAGTTCACAAATCAAGCGGGGGGGGGGAGGACACACACGGACATTTCACCAAAATAGTAGAGTACCACCGCCCCAGTCAAAGGCCACCTGTCTACCCCTCCATGTTGGGAGCTGCTGACACTATTGTCTGATAAAAATGAGTGTTGCAATAATCAGAAGAATAGGACCAACTACGTAAGTAGTTGCTATCAGTATTAAATATTCTGAATGTTATATATTTATTTATTGCTTTTTACTATGTATTAGAATTGCAATCCCATCCTAGTGCTTGGGCCCTTTTAGCTGAGTGTTTTGAATAGCTGTAACTGCTTTGTTTTCCACAAAACAGGAGCCAGTTACAATCTGTGTTGTTTGGAAATAGGGAGTGCAGCAGCTCTACATTTAAACAAGCTGATATAGTTAAATCAGTAGAATTATTTCCTATGTTCCCATGGCATTTTTGGAAGAATTCCAGTAGCCTTGCACTTAACAATATTCTTCAGATAATATAGCAAAAATGTGTAGCAATACAAATTACAGTTACTGTATTTAAGTTGCTCTTTAAAGATTCCTCTTGTTTTCCCCACTATAGTCTAAGTAGTCTCTGAGAGCAGAACTAAGTTTAAGGCTGCAACCCTGTGGAGATTTACCTAGGAGTAATTTGGATTGAACACAAACGTCTCAATATACATAGGATTGTCCTGTATCCTGAGCCAGATGGGAGAGTTTTGGAAGTCACTTTTAAGATGAACAAATATAATGACATGATGGAAACTTTCATAACTAAGCAATAATAGGATGACACTCTGGCTTCAACATAAGATTTTGTTAATTTATCTTGAGCTTTGAGTTGGTGTGTCTCATCTCAAGCATCTCTTTGCTTATAGAGCACATGTTTAACAATTAAAGCTATGGGTTATTGGTGCAGTCAACTTTTGCCTCATTTCTAAGATTATTAGTAGATATTCTTATAGCTGGAGATTAGACTTATTAGTTTCTTTTTCTCTCTTCTAGAGGACAACAATATATCATGGTGAGCAAAAAGAATTAGTAATGATGGTTTGTTTCCCTTTCAGAAATAGTCAACTCCTTGGTGCCTTATTTGACCAGCTAAGAAATTACACAATTTATCTATTTCCATATAATCAAGAAAAATATCTACACGGCTTTTGCTTTGGATAGACGTCTTCTATATTTGTTCAGAAGACTCAAGGAGTTTTTCTATAAGACTCTCAACTTGAGCCATTTGGCCAGAACAATTTTTGTTCTCTTTAATTCCACTATTTTTTTGAACTTCTGAAAGCATATTGCTTCCCTTTTATAATTGCTAGTTTGAATAATAAAGAAAAAATATAAACAGTTCTTGCTAACTGGGAGATATTTCCATTTCCTTCTTCATTCTCTTTTGAGATTAATGTTTCCAGTTAATAAAGTAAACAATTCTTCGATCTTCTTTTGATTGTATTATGCTAATGCCCTATCTATTGAATTATTGTATCTGCTTTTAAAGAAGTCATAAGACTAAGCTATAATTGTTATCTTATAAAAATACTCTAAAATCTCTACCAGTCATGTAGACTGTGTGCCACTGTGTAGCGGCAGTGTGGTTATATCCCATATAATGGAAGAGGATCCTGCATCTAATGCCATGATTCCACATGTTCACATGCAGACGATCATGGGGAAAAAATCCGAGATTCTTACTTCATATGTAATTCAGTTTGCTGAAGGTCAACTGTTGTTTCATGCTGCAATGAATGTTCAAAATTTAGGGTGTGACCATGCAATGGGAAATATGTGAACAGATCTGCTGTGAAGTCGCACCCAAGCAGTCAGGTTTCCCCCAGTTAATTCTCTTTGGCCAATCACACAGGAGTCAGCAGAGGGAGAGGGAAGAAAAATCAGCCTTGTTTGCAGATTGTTAACCATTTGACTCCTTTCTTCCCCATACCTGGTGCCAGGGTCTGTTTTCATCTTTTCTTACTCTCTGTTTCTTTCTTTTAAAGACTTGTTGTCCTAGCACTTGGCCAGCTGGCCAACCAAAGGAAAAAAAAAAGAACGAATCAACAAAGTGACAAGAGGAATTTTTAAGATAGCTCTCCTCTAACCTCTGAACAACCAGAGCAGAGCTACCTTAAAACTTCCTCCTCTCTCCAGTTCCTCACCCTTTTATTCCTTTGTTTGACCTGCTAGCCTAGCATTAGGATAGGAAGTTTAGACAGACAGACAGACAGACAGACAGACAGAAAGAAAGAAAGAAAGAAAGAAAGAAAGAAAGAAAGAAAGAAAGAAAGAAAGAAAGAAAAGAAAAGAAAAGAAAAGAAAGAGATGAAAAGAGGCACCAGGTGTGGGGAGGAGCTGATTCAACAGCAGCCAGGTTCCCCACTGTCCTCTATCTCTCACATTGCTACTGTAGCTGGTTGGAATGGCTTTAAATACAATGCCTGCAAATCCCTCCACATCAGCTCAAACAATCACACTGTCTGAACTGATGTGAATGCATTTGATTCCAAAAAAGTAGAAGCCCCATCAGCAGAGGGGGAAAAACACTATGGATTAAAGGGAAAAAATCTGGGCTGATTTGCACTGACTTTTATGACAGATGGTCAACAAAATAATGCAATTCAGACCATCTCAATCCTGGAACATTTCCTGTGTTATTTGTTAATGTAGTTACATCCTTAGCCCACTACAATCTGGTGAAACAACCTTGTCTTAATGATAGCCACTGAGGGCTAGAGTCATATGATCATCATTTGAAGAGGTGGCAGCTTGATTACTGTATAGCTGACTGAGAGCTAAACCCAGTATTTCCTTTTTTTCTTTGTAAAACCGTAGCTCTTGTCCAGCTTTCCTTGTTTCTTCCAGTTCTCGAAGTGCTACTTGCAGCTCTTGTGATATAATGCCTGGAGTGTCTTGTTCCTTCATAAGCCAATCCAGAGCCATGTGACTTCTCATCCGTTCATCTAAATTATACTGCGAATAGTAGGAAATCACTTCCTATGTTCAGTCACAAAAATGAAGAGTTAGTAACAAGCACATTTCATTACTTTCCAAAAATTCAGCATATTGCAAAGTTATAGCTTAGGCTACACAGAAGTCCTGATATATGTAAGCAGAGAGTTCCTCATTTACTGTTTGGGATGAACTGAACTACTCTTCTCACAACTGGGAAAGGTTACTTCTTTTGGAGTATGCTCACTGGGAAATTCTGAGAGTTGTAGTCCAGAATAGTAATTTTTCCAAGCTCTTGGCATGTATAATGTAATTGTGCAGGATTTTTAAAAAGAGCTTAATTCGCAATTGTCCATGGATTTTTTGTGAACAGAGTAGAAGTTTTCACACTATTACATGCCACATAGCTGTGCAGCCGAATTAAATTAAACACAACAAAGCACTTGCGGTTCCTTAAAGATGAGCATGTTTTATCTGGCGTGAGCATCACCAGGTTTTTCAAGAAGTGGGCTACAGCTTGCAAAAGCTTGTCCTGAATCAAACCTGTTTGATTTTAAGGAGTAATGAGACTCTTTGTTGTTTTCGCTGCAACCCAGTATGACAGCTAACCCATTGAATAATTAAAACTGAGGGACATAGGTAACATATGGATATGTTTTAGATCATAACTACATATGTTTTAGAACATAGGTAACATAGGTAACATATGGATATGTTTTAGATAGGGACATACTTAACAAACTGAGGAACATAGGTAACATATGGATATGTTTTAGATCCAACATCAGTTACTAAAATGTCCCACTTATTTAAAGGAAAGAGGGGGTGTGCGGAAACTTACATTTTTCTCATTAATGGGACTTTGAAACGACCTACTTTGGCTGGGCCATGCCGGTAGTAAATAAGGGAAATGTTGAGCAGTGTTGCAGGAACTAGCACAATATTTTACAAGAACACTTACTTGTCGAGAGCATTTTGTTTCACGTAGGGCTTTGAGGCTTCCATTCCAATGCAATAGTTGAAAGACTATCATCAGCTCCTACAGAATGAGAAGCATTAATTGCCAATCAAACTGCTTTGAAATAGGATCTTATTTTCACCATGAAAAAAGCCAGCTTTTCGTGTTGAGCAAGGGTACACAAGTGCTGAGATACTCACAGCATCATAGAAAAGTGAAGTTGGAAGGGGCCTACAAGGCCATCAATTCCAACTCTCTGGTCAATGCAGGAATACAATCAAAGCATATCTGTCAGGTGATTATCTAAGTTTTTCTTGAATGCCTCCAGGGTTGGAGCACTCACCAACGCCCGAGGTAACTGGTTTCACTCTCATACTGCTCCAACAGTTAGGAAGTTTTTCCTGATATTCAACCAAAATCTGGCTTCCTTTAACTTGAACCCATTGTTGCTAGTCCTGAACTCTAGGATGACTGAGAACAGATCTTGCCCCTCCTCTGTATGACAGCCTTTCAGATATTTGAAAAGTGCTATCATATCACTGTTCAGCCTTCTTTTCTGAAGGCTAAACATGCCCAGTTCTTTTACTCTTTCCTCATAGGGCTTGGTTTCCAGCCCCCTGATCATCCTTGTTGCCCTCCTCTGAACTTGTTCCAATTTGTTAGCATCCTTATTGAAGTGTGGTGTCCAGAAGAGGACACCGTACTAAAGGTGAGGCCTAACCAGTGCTCAATAGAGGGGGACCAGCACCTTGCAGGATTTGGAAACTATACTTTCATTAATGCAGCTTAAACTAGCATTTGCTTTTTTGTAGCCACATCACACTGTTGCCTCATATTTAGCTTGTGATCTACAATAATTCCAAGATCCTTCTCGCTCATAGTTTTGCTGAGTCAGGTATCCCCCATCTTGTAACTGTGCATTTGGTTTCTTTTTCTGAGGTGCAGTACTTTGCACTTGTCCCTGTTGAATTTCATTCTGTTGGTTTCAGCCCAGTGCTCCATCCTATCAAGGTCATTTTGAATTTTGTTTCTGTCTTCTAGGGCAGTGGTCCCCAACCTTGGGCCTCCAGATGTTCTTGGACTACACCTCCCAGAATCCTTCACCACCACCTCTGCTGGCCAGGATTTCTGGGAGTTGAAGTCCAAGAACATCTGGAGGCCCAAGGTTGGGGACCACTGTTCTAGGGTATTACTTATTCCACCCAATTTTGTATCATCTTCAAATTTGAAAAGCATTCCCTGCACTCCCTCATCCAAGTCATTAATAAAAATATTGAAGAATACCAGGCCCAGAACTGAGCCTTGGGGTACCCAGCTTGTTACCTCCTCCCAGTTAGAGAAGGACCCATTCATCATCACCCTCTGAGTATGATTCTGTAGCCAATTGTGTATCCACGTGACACTTAATCTATCCAGCCCACACCTAGTTAGCTTGTTCATCATAATATCATGGGGCACTTTGTCAAAAGCTTTGCTGAAGGCAAAATATACTATGTCTACAGCATTCCCTCTGTCTATCAGGGAGGTTATCTGATCAAAAAATGAGATCAAATTAGTTTGGCAGGATTTGTTCTATTCCATGTTGGCAAATGTTCTCCACTAGGTGCTGTTGCGTTCCTCCTACGACATGGTGTGAGCTATTTTGATGTTCTTTCTGTGTTGTCCTCAAGCAGATTGCTCTGATAAGGCTGCAGTCTTTCCATGAACCTGCCTTCATTAACCTTCAGAGGTACCTGACTATTGTCTCCCGCCAGCATGGTCAGTGGCTGTGCTGGGCTCATTATGGGCATTGTAACCAACATACTGTATTAGAAGGACACTGAGTGGGGGAAAATTGTGGTATATGTACACTTGCTAGGAAGTCTGTGGGCCTTGCTTTTGATCATGCAGGCATAAGCATTGTGTTATACAGTGGTACCTCAATTTACAAACTTAATCCGTATTGGAACGGTGTTCGTAAGTTGAAACGTTTGCAAGTTGAAGCACCATTTCCCATAGGAATGCATTGAAAACCATTTAATCCGTTCCAGCTGTTTTTTGTTCTTAGGTAGAGGCATTAGAAAAGCACCTTTTAAGCCAAGCCAAGCCAAGCCGAACATCTTTTAGGTAAAAAAGGTCGAAATACCAGCTGTTCAAATCCATGTGACAGAGTGAGTTCCTGTTGCTTGTCCCAGTTCCTGCCAATCTAGCAGTTCAAAAGCATGGCCAGGACCTATTTTATGAAACATACTTCCCATTGAGGTGTGCCAAGCTCTGTTCCTCTTTATATTTAGGAAATTAGTTAAGACATAACTCTGTAAAGCAACCTTTAATGTATCCCCAAATGCTGTTAATATTTATTATTAAATTTAGGTCTTTTTTACTAATTGTGTTTGAGTTGGTATAATGCCATATTGATTGTGTTGAGATATATACAGGTATAGCTGGGATGGGGTGGGTTGAGATTTTTTGGGTGTTTTTCCTGTAAACTGCTCAGAATAGTGTGTGTCACTAATGGGGTGGTATATAAATAAAATAAAATAATGGTAGGGCCAACCTGACTATGTTCATGCTTTTCTTGTTACCTTGAGGCAGGATTGTCAGAAGCACAGTTTGGAAGAAGCCAGCCCAATAAGAGCTTTCACAGATTTCACAGCAGTGAGGATACAATGGTGTTTGTATGAGTATTGCCATCTGTCTGAAATAAGCTTTGGATAAATAGGAACGGCTCCAGTTTGTGAACTCTTTTAACAAAAGGCAAATGTTCATGTCGGTCTTTCATCAGCTCCAGGAAAAGCAACCATCAAAAGCAAAGCTGGTGTAACTATACTTGTAAAGGAAATCTATTCATTGCACAAATCTTAAAATAGGACTTGGATTGGGTCCCCCCCTTTCTTTTGGAACATCAAGAAATACTGGTTTGGACCACACAGATTTTCCAGTAGACATTAAACTCACTGTACCGAGGGATAAAAGGCAACTCCTGTAACTGGAATCTAATCTGGAAAACAGTACACAATGGGAAAATGCCAGATCTTAGTCTGAATGGAAAAAAATATTCGTATGTGTGCATATAAAGACACAAGCCTTTTGTAATTACTTCTGAAACATTATTTTTAAGTTCAGGTGCTCCTTTACTTAAGTCATACCATACAGGTGTTAATGTTCAAAGAAGCGGTGACATATACAAAACATATATGAAGCCGTATCTTTCATTTGTCCAGTTAAAATGGAAACCCTGAACACACTTACTAGGATGGTGATCCTAGTGAATACAGTGGAACTGGCTTCAGAGTAAATACAGACAGGAATAGCTTTGCAAGTCCTTAAAATACCATAGAGTCTGAATTTATGTCCATTGAATAAGCTGCAAACCGGGCATACCTGAAACTCCAGCATGGTTTTCCCCATGTTTGATTCCAACATGTAATGATAGGCTCCAATACTTGTGCTTGGGTCATCAGCATCATTTAGAGTACCCTTTAACAGAAAGAGCATTTTTTTAAAAAAAAATTCTATATAGAAAAGAAATAACTCACTGCCACAAACACAGATTTCACATTTTGTGCTATGCAACCAGTGATTATTAGATTTCCGCCATTCTCATTGGCACATGGAAACTATCCACAAAATCTTTTTATTCTTTTATTTTTGCTACAGAGCAGTGTATGAAATTCAAGGGCACCTCGTGGATCAAGTTGCGGGGGGGGACCTTGCCCAAAATGTTGGGGTGATATCCACACACCAACGTAGTAGAAGCTACATCAAGTAATTTAGACCTAAAAAGTATATCAACTAGTTTTAAACATTAGATATTTTTAAGATCTTCTTCCAAATACTGGAAGGTCTTTTCTAAAACATTCACATCTTCCTTTAGTGACGCCGAAAGAAAATGTTACACAACTATGTTTTTAAAAAGCAACAAATTGTATGATCCAAAGCAGCTGTGGAAGATCTGGTTTCTGCCTGTTCTGGAGAGCAGCAAATTTTAACAGCATTTCCCATCAAATGTACGATTGTGTTTAGTCTCTCTAAAGCTAGCTCCCATTACTGTTTTACCTACTGAGTTTGTAGATTTATATTCCGCTTTTTGTCTAGAGTCATCAGAAAAAGCAATGAAATGCAATGGATGCAGGATTATGCAATGGATTGAGAAAATTAGAAGCATATCAGATGATAAAATGTAGGCTGTTGGATAGAGAAGCACAGGAACTGCAGAGTGCTGCAAATAACAGCTGTTCACCAATGAGCCTATAGGTTCCCACCAAAGTTGGTCAACCAGCATGGTATTTTTATCTGCAGGGCCTCTACCCTTGCTAGATGTAACACCATTTCAGCAGCAGTGCTGTATGGGAGATTCAAGGGAATTCCATACAGTGAGAGGTGCTGTTCCTGTGAGCTGGATGGGGTGGAGTCACTCTCTCACATGATTCTGTATTGTCCCTTCTATATGGATCTCTGCAGAAAATAATTAGACCCATTTTTGTTAAAGCATAGGGGTTGTTTGGATTGTGGTATATTTTGTCAACAGGAGAGTCAGTTATAGTGGAGAACGTGGCCAGAAATGTTTTGAATCTCTGAGTAAAAGGCACCTTGTCTTATTTTGTGGAGTTCCCTCTCCATCTGCTGCTTTTCTCTTTCCCTTTCTGAGATGGAAACTCAATATAAAGTGATTTTTTAAAAACTGATGTTGGCGTGGAGCTTAGCATTTGTTCAATTCCACACTCAAATTAGAATGGAGATCAAGGGTCAATGAAAAACTAAGACAGCAGCCAGCCTTTGGGAGACATCTCATATCTGCAGAGAATGTATCTTAAGTTACTGAAGAGATAATATTACTTTTTCTCCTTCAGCAGATCAATACATCAGGATAATCGCCACTTGCTGGCAGAGCGGATTTGTTTCTTGCCTCAAGCTTTATATACAGCATTGTTGTTTTTCCTTGGGAAGACATGCTGTGGGTAAAGTACATGCCACTCGTTTTATTACCCTGAAGGTGCATGACAAGGAGCTGAACGCCACTCTGTACACACAAGACCGTTCCTTTCACAGAACTATCTGAAAATTTATAGCTTTTGAAATGCAGGAACATTAACACACTGCTGTTGAAATATTTATGCTGGCTTTTAAATATCCCTGAGGATCTTAGCCCAGAACTTTGCAATGTTAAGCTTTTCCCTTCAAAATTTTCCATAAAAAATGATGAATTGCATGAAATGAACCTTCTTTTCAAAAATCACCTCTACATAAATCATGGCTCGTTTCCCAAAAATCATGCATGGTATTGTCCCTGCAAAGGGCATGAGGCTCGTAAAGAAGTTTGGAAAGAAAGACTTCCTTTCATCCACAGACCAGATATGCACCAGTCCTTCTTCCCCTTAGCTGGGCAAATGTGCCTAAATTATAAGTGCCCCCCCTAATTCTCTCAGAATCATATGAGAGTGCAGCAGAAGAGGAAACATTTCAGATTAGCCTTCTTGCTAGAGCCATTGCAGAAATCTCCTTCCTTCTTCTTATCAGCAGTTCCTTTGGCAGAGATGGAAGGATTTCAGTACATCCTCAGTCCCTAGTTGAGTCAGCATTTTTCCCCCTAAACTTCTCTGAATTTTGCTGCATTCTTCACCGGATTGGTCACATGCTTCTAACAAATTAGGATTTCTGTTCTATTGCAAGATATCAAATCTGAACATATTAGAATCTATAATGGAGCACAATGAAGGTACAAGTAATATTTTTAATCCACAGGGATACACTTTTACACCACGGTACTGAGGGATGGTGAGGAAATCACATCAGCTTCTCCCTTTAGTGGTATTATATGTAATTCAGTGCTAATGACTTGCCATCTTGGAAAGTCTACAGCCTTTGCCCAGACATAAATTTCACTACACAAATGTGATTTGTGTAACATGTTGGAATTAGTTATACAAGGGGTGAATTCCCCTTCACCAGAGTTGGGGATATTTTGGATTCCTTACATCTTCAGGGCCCTCAAGATGGAGAAGAAGTGTTTAATGTTCAGAAATCATCACCAGCAGTCATTATTCGAGTGATGGGCATACACTGCCCAGTGTTTCCCAGCCTTGCCTCTTTCAGCAGGCACCCACTCAGAAGCAGTGCCTGGAGGAGGCAGGGCAGGGAAGCTGGGGCGCTGCCTTTGAGTGGGTGCCTGCATGGGGAGGCAGGGCTGGGAACCTTCCAACACCTGTTTGTCTATCTCTAGGTAGAACCTTTCTAAGGCCCCCCAAACCCGTCTGATGGACGAAGGAGCCTCTGAATTTGTGGTTCATGGTCTGTCCCCAAATCCTTCCCATGGATGAAGGCATTTCTGAACCTAAGGAGGTGGTGGGGAAACTTTTAATTGGCAATAAAAGGCCACAGCTGATGACATGGTTATTCTTGCATGTGTGGAGCTTCCTCTACAAGCATTTCAGCCTGTTTCGTCTAAACATTCAAATATAACAAAGTGGAAGCCTACACTGACATGATTTACAAAGCATTCTGAGAGTGCCTTATATAAAAAACAGTATATTAATTTGTGACTTAATTTAATAGTTAGAAGTTTTGTATACCTTTGTTCAATTGTCAATCCAGATGGAGACTGCAGCCAAGAAATCAAAAGACTGAGACTAGGACATAGGAGGATAGCAATAAAAGAATTAGAAAAGATGATCAAGTGTGTGTCACTGGAGACCAAGACCATCCACACTCCTGTATTTCTGATCATCATATATAGATGTGAAAGATGGACAGTTAAGAAAACTGTCAGGGAAAATTTCAATTCATTTCAAATGTGATGCTGAAGGACAGCTTTGTAGATACCCTGGACTGCCAAATGGTAAACAGGTGCACCCTAGGTCAAATCAAGCCTTAACTATCTCTAGAGGCAAAAATGTTGAAACTGAGACTGCTCTACATCATGAGAAGTCAGGATTCTCTGGAAAAGACAATAATGCTGAAAAAGGTGGAAGGCAACAGGAAAAGAGGAAGACCAAACACGAGAGTTACCAAACATGGTAACTTTAACATGCTTCCTATATGTTGAAGGCAACTTGATTGAACATAACAAAAATATTGTGGCTATTTACAGGCCCTTTTCAAGGATACGAATGCACTTAGCTTTTAGTAAATCAGTATTATGGATGAAGGAGTGAAATTATGTTCCTAAGTATCTAAAATGCATATGTTGATATATATTTTAGATATTTATACAAGGTGACAGACATGTTAACAAGGTATACATGGTAACTTTAACTGAGCTTGGAAAAGTTACTTTGATTGCTGTGCAGATGTTTCTTTTTCAGCTATAACTCCAATTGCTGACTGGAGGTTTCTGGGTGTCCTAGTAAAAAAGAGTAACTTTCCCAGCTTTTGTACTTAAAATATGCATTTCCTTTTCAACATATGTATAGTGCAAAGAGGGTTCTTTATATGTTCATAAACGGGGCCATGTTCATGAACAGAACACAGTAGCTGATGACAATTTGCAATAATGCTATACCAGCCCACTCAAAGTTGTAGCAAACCACAAATGCAGATGTTAACAGTCTGATTTCGTTTCTGTATATTCATTGGGAAAAAAGAAAGAAAAAACTCCTGCCAAGTTGTTTCCTTGCCAGAGGCAATAACGCAGAAAAGAATAAGTTCTGAAACAGAAGAGCGGCAGGGAAGTGAATCAGAACACTAGGATACTTTACAACACTGTTTTAGCCTTGGGGCTATTGCTGGCTTTCCTTATATTTTATTATTAATTTCAAGAATGTCGGTTTTCCTAAGGGAAAATGGCAGGATGTAAGTAGGCTTTTCAGATCATTTATCTAAATGACATTACCCTTAATTTGTACACTGAAATATGTCTGAGAGAAAGTAGATTATGCATATATTTCTTCTGTGATTGGGCTAGTGTGGTTGAGGCCACATTTTCAGGTTC